TACGTGTGTGAAACAGGATTAGGACTCTGTCTTTGCTATCCTCATTCAAGTTGACTATTTTACTTAATTGCACTTTTTAACTTTTCAAATTCCTATCTAGCTTCTGAACAGCACATTTTGTTCTTTAAAACTTTGCATTCTGCCAAAGTGTTTTTATAATTTATTTAAAGCAAATTCTACTTACAGTTTCCGCCCTCTGAATTCTTCTGCAAAGGTTTGTATGCTTGCAAATGATGCCAAGTCTAGCAACATGGTTTCCACATAAGCTTCAGGGGTCTACAGCATTTGAGGAAGAAGGAAAATGAAACTCAATTTTAAGTTAGACTGAGAAATTGTTTAGTTAGTTTAATCGTTTAAAAAGAAATATTACATCGCAGCCAAGGGGCTGAATTGCATGATATTTTACAATGATATATTATGTTATAATAGATACATACAGGAGTATAATACATACAGGAATAAAATAAAAATTACAATTGTATCAGAAACTATGAAAAGATAAAATATCACTAAGATCGAGTAATACTAGGCAGGCTTGATCAATCGAATATTCACACAGTGTTGCATGATTGCTAGTTGACACATGCTCGAGATGAAGGACAGAGGAAAATGCTTGGTGTGCACGCCAGAATTTTGTTGTGTATAGTTGTTTCAATTTTTTACATTTTTAAATTTAGCTTTAAGTGCCTATCTCCATTAGCATACAAATAAAATTAACAATTGAAAATACAGAATTGCTGACAATTAGAATTAGTAATGACAATATCTAAAAGTATGAAGTAAAGAAAATTGACACTGAGACATTCATAGGAAGAGAATGTTAACACTAGTATACCCTTCATTTAGAACTCTTAGAAAGAGCGAAATTACCAACACTCTACACGCAGCAGCTACAGGCCATTGTGATTTTAATGTACAAAGTAAAAAACGGCCTGGTGCCTCCCTATGTTGCGGACTTATTTGTCCTTGCCAACTCTCATTATTTTCTTAGAAATCATGACTTCGTCATTCCTAGATTTTGGACTGTTGCTTATGGAAAACATAGCCTTACCTACTTAGGCCCTGTTAATTGGTCCAAATTAGATGCATATACTATTCGATCGTCTGAACTTTGGGCATCTTCAAAAAGCGCATCAAACTGTTCAAATTCACAAGTCTGCCTGACAGAACCTGTAGAGACTGTTTTTTATGTAATAACTGACAACTTATGACTCAATTATTAAGATTTTCTTTTTTAACATAATATTTACAATTAGTTAGGTAATTGTAGTTAGGAATCCCCTATTAGTGTATTTCTTACGCTAGAGTTATTGACACTTAAGTTCTTACTTACTTACTTACTTTAGGTACTGTTTACACAGATGCAGTTTCATTTGTAACTGCATTGGTTTCAATGTTGTTATGCCTTTTGTTTACACAATCAATGAAACCAGATCGTTTTGAAATGCTCCACTTTTGAACGCGTTTTCAGGACCACCTGGTTCTGATAACGAACTCAACTGGCGCCAGAAGGCGTAACTGCATCAAAAGCGATGTGGTTACAAATGAAACCGCATCAGTGTAAACAATGCCTTAATGACCTGTGCTTGTCTGATCATAGCTGCCGCTCTGTTTGCTTTGTTCATGTTCCTGCAAGCTAAAATCACATGTGCTCCATGAAGTGCCAGAGCCTTGGCAGTCTCAAAACCTGTTGAAAATTCAATTTAAAATAACAAAAATCCAAATTAATTCATGATTAAAAGAAAAAAAAATACCATTACCTGAGGTAGAGTGATATCTAAAAGCATTATTATTAATAAGATAAACATTATTCTATATACAAGGCTAAAAGATTAAGAAAAATTATTAAAATGTTTAAACCAAACGTTTTTGGCTGTTTGCCATCATCAGGGTCGAAAGTGATGACCGTCTGTACATACATATATATCTTATGTGATTCCCGATGGGAAAAGTTTGGAGACATAAGAAATAACTTGTATGATATATAATGTATGTACAGACAGTCATCACGTTCAACCCTGATGATGGCAAACAGCTGAAAATGTTTGGTTTAAACATTTTAATAATTTTTTCTTAATCTTTTAGCCTTGTATATATAATATCTTTTATTAAGCGAACATTATGGACAAGATAAACATTAATTGACTACTACCTCACTAACTAAGGTAGGACTGAATCATTGCCAGCTACAGTTTCTGGTAGCTCAAAGATATAGATGAGATTAAACAAAATGATGGCATAGACCAGATAAAAAGAGAGGGCCTTGAGATGTGATGATCCTACTATGTACACACATAAGGTAAATCAAAGGACAATTTAGCTAATTTCAATATGTAGAAAAGTGGCCATTAATCCTAGGGAGACTCAGAGTGGTAAAAGTGAATGTATGGACCATCTATCAGGACATAACAACACTTGTTGTAGAAAGCTGGCCCTTAGTAGAGATTTGATTATATCTCAAAATGGTTCCTAAACACAATGTGTAAAATATGCTGACCTATGCCACTGTTGGCTCCTGTCACCATGGCAACCTTTCCACTCAAGTCTTCTCCATTCAACACATGCATGGCTGTAGAGTGACTGTCCAACTTTTTTGAATTTTTTTTGCTCTTGGTGAAATTCAAGGCTATTCTTGGGTCAATGTAAGTGGTAACCCTATTCACAGAACTGTTAAAAAATTCCACCTAACAGTCAGTGGAAACTACACATTACATGTCATCATGAAATGACTCTATATCATATTTTATTATACTCATTTTTAAATCACTGGTGATCCTTGTAATTTGAGTGGCTCTCATTGCTACGATTTATTTACCAATCACAATATGTTTGCCCTAAATCATATCTTTTTCCCAACCAAAGGGAAAGCCTCACTAAAACACAACAACCAATTTCTAGACTTTTCTAAAATAACCAATCAAATTGCAGGAAAATGAAAGACAATTTAGCAAGGTTTTGAATTTGTTCAAACAAACTAGGGAAGGAAGGGGGGAGGGGTTGTGTATGATTCACAATCTCAAATCTCCAAATTTTTCATATTTTAAGAGGATGGTTTCTATGTTGATAAGATTTCAAAGAGAAAAAAGTACTCACTCAAAAAAGAAAACACTTCCTTTACTGTCATATAATTTTTGCCAACCTTGTGGAAGATCTAGAGATGTAAAAAAAAAAAAAAAAAAAAAAAAAAAAAGAAAGAAAGAAATGATAATCCAATTACAATGTACATATGAAGTTCATATATTTTGAACTGCGGTATTAGATATATATGATGCACAATCCTTTATTTAGATATGAACTTCACATATACATTGTATCTGATTTATCATCACGGGTTTATTACGAATCAACTTAACGGCTTGTTCCCAGTTGGCTTGTTAGCTCAATTGGTAGAGCACTGCACTACTATTGCAGTGGTTCGAATCCCGTACAGGCCTGATTTTTTTCAGGTCTGATTTTCACTATTACATAAATAGCGCTCTCTACTGCGAGGATTGTGTGTCGTACGATAATCCAATTATAGGCCCAACCAGAAATACATATATATAGGAAATGTTACATATCTTCACTCTTAACCGAGTGTGATGAAGTTTATAGTCCATCAGACAGATGGACAATGCCTGCCTGTACTATTTTCATTTAAATAAAAAAGGGTATTAATAGTATATTGTGCCACTCTCAATTTTAAGTGTAAAGTCTATTCAATACCAATCTCTCTTTTCTAAAGCACAGTGTTTTAGTCCACAAGATTTGACAGATAAAACAGCAAAGTATGAAACACATTCAATAGTAAGTCACTCAGGGCTTGACACTAACTTTTCAACTTACTAGCCAAGTGGCTAGTGACATCTTAGGTGTTACAACAATTGCAGTTTGTTTATTAGCCAAACTGGCCTGTGGAAATAAAAAATCACTAGCCAAAACTGAATTTCTACTAGTCTGTGGCTAGGCTAGTGGGCTACCATTAGTGTCGTGCCCTGTCACTCATTCTGCATAGTCATTTTCAAGATGCTTAACTTCCTTGAGACAGAGCTGATGAGACTAAGTAACCCTGTCACAAAATTAAGATCTCAGCGATCAGTAAATAGTCTCCTTTAAACTGCTCAACATTTTTGTGTCAATCAGTTAGGAGAATGCTTTTTTTTAATTATCGAGATAGCACCTAGCTGATAAATTGAAAATTCTCACTATCATCTTACCTTTATCACCCTAGATTTACATTTCGATCAATTTCAGAGTTTAAAGGTTTGACATGACTGTAACCTTTCATTAACAATTTAATTTGTAAAGCACGTAATTTGATTTCGAAATTACCTCCACAGACTTTGTATCTTTTCCCCGACGTTGGATGCTCCCACTGTGTTGATTTTGTCAAGTGACTAGAAAAATAATTTGTAACCAAAAATAAGGTAAGCAAATATTTAAATCGTTCCAACTCATTGAAGGAGACGAACAATAAAAACCGTCGATATCATTGTTTACGTTGTGTAAAAAGGGTGTTAGTATGACGGTATATTTGACAAAATTCACATGTAAAACAAAAAAAAACAGTAATATATGAATTTAAAAAAATATCTGCCACTTATGAACATCTTGTTTAAAACGATTACGACTAAATTCCTATTCTGGCACCTGCATCCATAAGTGGGACAGGATTGTTTTGAAACAGATCCGTCAAAGGCCCTTTCATAAAATTACGTTTGAATCACGAATTAAGCTATGGGAAAAGACTCACTTAGCATAGTAGATCCTCCCATCGTCCATTGTTCTTATCTCCCAACCAGGCGGTAAAAAGTGTTCCTCGGAGTTTTTAAACTTGCTGGTTTCTTCAAACACCAGTCCGCCATCCTTGGCAGCCATTTTGTACCTTTCACCGACAAGGCACTGGGGCGGCCCGACAACCCACAAGGGGAGTGGGGAGGGGGAATGTCATAGGGTGGTTTACAGCAACAAAATAAGAACAACAATAACGAAACAAAGAGAAAGATCGTCATTATTGAAGACTAAAACATCCCCTGAGCTCTGTCCTTTTTAAATCAAGATGTGTTTTTTTCATTCATTGACACCACCAGAGAAGTGGTGTAGGAATTTAATTACATTAGTGCCCTTATTTCACCATTGATGGCACCCCAAAATTTAATTTTTGTTCTGCCCACTAGGTTGAGAGACAGAATGACCCTGTGATAAGGGTGGATAAGCTGACTGTCTTGTCTGAGGGTGCAAATTAAGAAAATAGCTGAAGTATAGCTACAAATTCCCTTCTTGGGATACAAGTTCTCATCAGGTCCTTCTTTCAAGGTAAAAAAGTCACACCTACAAATGCCCTTTCCTCTGAGTCCCACAGAAAACAAAACATAATGGTTTGTTCAGTAGGAAGGAAGGGAAGATAGGTAGGAACAGATGGCATGTTTTTAAAAGAAAGGAAAAAATAATGCTGCATTTGAGAGAAAAATTGGTGAAACTATATGTAAAATCCAATGTTCCAACTGCAAACATCAACTAAGGGAAAGTGTCATGTTTAATACAACTTTACAACCAAAGTACATAACTGTTTTAATTGATCCCAACCTTTCTGCTGGCTGTTAAGCACATAACACTTCAAACTTAAAGTAACCCTTCTATAGACGGTGGGGTGGTAAATATACAGTTAATTTAAATGCAAAATCGTTAAAAACTAAAAATTGGGCAAACATGGAATATTTACCTTGTGGACTAAAATAACATTCTTAAATTAAGTGCTTAAAATGCTAAAAGGATTTCTCACTCAAACAAATATTACTTGCTATGCAGATTATGTAAGTCCATCTAACAGTTTGTAGAAAATAATATGCTTCAAAATAACTCACTCTCTGCAGTGCCCAATATGTAATATTCCTTACAATGTCAATAAGGGTTTACACTTAGTTCTTATTAACCAAGTGGGAGGTCTGTATGGGAGAATCTTGACTGAGGTTGCCAGTACAGACCGAACAGAGTGAGGTCTGTACCAGTGACCGAGGTCAAGATTCCCCCATACAGACCGACCTAGCTCAGGTAATAAGATGTTTATTATATGGCTGTCTCTTATATGCCAATTTCTTATATTCTTTGTACCTCTTTTTTTCTAGACCGGTCTAGATGCCGGTCTAGATGGGAAAATCTAGACTGCTTTCAATATTGATTTCAGCCAATCAAATTCGTGAATTCAGTAGTTCCCAGTCTTTATGAGACACAGCCCTATAATAATGAGAAATAATAAAAAAGAAGAAGAATATCAACTGGTGAAAATTCTCCTAGATAAATCTGTTGTAAATGTAAAGCAGACAGTGCAGTGAATTGATATTTACTGCTTGGTCTTGGAGTGAAAGTGTTGAGACACAAGCATGATTTTCTAAACAATCACGCCAACACATTAAAATTCACAACATTGGCAAAAAGATTTAAGCATATTAATTGACATAATTAACACCTTATGGCAAATCTTTCTGCACTAACTTAGAAAAACCTTGAAACAGTACCAGGCTGATGGTTATGGCACATCACATATGCTTCCTTGATATACCTTTCTTACCTCAACATTTGTACCCTAAGTCTACATTATAAGAACTGAAAATTGCCTAAACTTGCTAAGCAACACAATGTACTTCATAAGAATGACAACTTGTTATCAATACTTATTTCAGCATCCATATGGAGAAACTAAAAACTGTACAAGGCGACCATGTTGTCATAAATAACCCGATCAGAAGTCAAATGGACCTATTACAGGTTAACATACTATCTGCTCAAAGCACACTCCTTTGCTAACAACATCTAACATTAACACATCAACATATCAAGACATGTGAACTCCATTATTTTCCATGAGTGACTTTAAGTTAAACAGAATTAGTGTGCCTCCAAAATTGCTGGGCTAGCCTGGAATATTGGACACCTGGTTTCACTTTTTGTATGGTTTGTAGAATGAAAAAAGGCTTGAAGGGAAACTTTTTCATACTGCATAATATTGCAGACCATACCATTTGGATTCCTATTAATCTGTTTGTAAGAAGCGGGTTGTGGCCAAAAAATTAGACTAATCATTGCCATCTTGGCTGAGAGGTTGTTTGCAACTCTACACATTTGACTTTGGCTAATTGTGATGCTGAAGGAAAAAACCACCTTACAAATACAATAATCACCACTATTTCCTAAAACTTCCACTCCCATAAATCAGTTACTACCCTCTTTTCCAATGACTGAACGAATACATGTATGAATCTTACCCTTAAAAATTAGCTTGTTAAAAAAAAAGCTAACTTAATTATGTTTCTGTACAAAATGTGTGTATGATAAAGTACCATGGTTATATTACAAGTGTCTGTTAGTAAAATAGCGAACATTAGTATTCATGCATATTTACATAATATGGTCTTTTCTAGAAATGTTTAAGATCATATCTTGATTATCAGCAATAAAAATTAACACATTTCTCTTCCTCTGTATGATACCGAGAAAAAGAAATCTTGACAGTCAGTAACCAAAAAAAATCATCCTTGACACTGAGCTGGTGTCACTTAGGAAATGAGAATTGGAGAATTCCTAGAAGGAGAAAAACAGTGTAAAAAATATTGCTAATTTCTGTGATAACCATAATAACATCATCAATACAACTACCTTTATTGTTACCATTATCATCACCATCATTCTCATCAATGAAATTCAAAGACCAACAAATCCTTTCCAGTGGTTGACATGTGAATAAAACTTTTTAAACAAGTACAATACTGTACCGGCTATAGGAAGACTCCTCAAATGCTGTGTCCATTGGTTCCATTTCAAATTGTTCATCTTCATCAGACTGATATTGAGCAATGGACCTGTTTTGAATTGAAATTTTGATTACTTGAAGAATGATTAGAAAAACAGCTATTTTTATACTCAAGAAACATTTGGGAAAATGTGGGATTAAATTATGATGAGGCATGGTTGGTTTTAATAGATTATAGTCATCAGCCTGTGAACAGTGCTCTTGAACTTCACTACAGATTTTTTTTCAATCACAGTAGGCTTCCTACCTTGTTGCTCTACATGTAAAGAACAATATTCTCTTCATTTTCTTGTTGTAGAAGAAATAGTTGAAAGACCACAGGCTTCCTTCTTCACCATAAGGGTCTGAGTCAAGATCTGGATTGTAACTACACATGATAAAAACAAAACAACCAAAGATTAAAAATAACTCAACCAACTTGGTTTGAGTGCCAATATATTTGACACCCCTGAGGTAATAGGAAACATCAACACAACTTGTATAAGTAAAATCCAGAAAGAAAGTTTGGCAAGGGGCAAACCAATTATCTGATTAGAAACAAACAATATGGCAACTGAACTTGAGACTGCTGTGAAACCAGTGGCATGGAAAGGAAAAGTGGAAAGTTAGATACTGGACCTTCAAATCCAGCACATTTTCACCACCATACAAATAAATTGAAGTTCAGTGATCACAAACCCTCAACATCTAACTAACTGTTTTTGCTCTGAGTGGTTGGACCACACCGTAAAATAAATTATTATGAACTTTACAATACTGCACGTAATTACCTGAAAATGTCGCATTCCATCAGATTAATCTCTTCATCAATTGCGGCCCACAATCCTGCCCTGAGAGCAACATATGTCTCGCTACTAATAGCAGACAAATTTCCATTGATTGCATCAATAACTAACTGAAGGTTTGGTTCACGTGAGAACTCTTCAGACTTTACATTACTGAAATCGTAATCTGGGTTAAAAGAAGCATTCAAGGTGGAAATCAAATAGAACAACATCTTGCGACTAATTGTGTCACAGAGCACAGCTTCCTCTTGACTTCCTGTGCTCAGTCTTCTCTGTTGCGTACTAGTTAGGATTGCAGGGTAATTGCTGTTGGTAGGTGATATGCTTGCTGATTGTGTAGTTTGTGGCGGTGACAGGGCCTGAAGTTCATGTGGGGTACATCCTTCATTCAGGCTTTTGTATAGTTTTTTGTCACTACCAGCCATCTTACAAGAATAACTTTCAATTCTAGGAGTAAAATACATTAATAAATATCCTATCCTATTGTACATGGCTATGCACAATAAAGGACATAAGGCTTTAGCATTCCCTTCCATTCATTTTGACATACATTACTGCTAGAACTCTAACAGTCCCCTTGCATCCTCAACCTCTGTCAGCTTTGTAAATTCCTTCCCAGTGTTGCCCTACTTTGTCAACCTGTTACTGAGAGGTCCCCCTTGCACTGCCATGTCATTAGAGAATCCATAGTCTTATTTTTACGGGGGTGGGTTGTCAGTGCCAGCCTACCCCCAACCTGGAGCACCAGGGGATCACACTTTGTCTGGTCTCTGCCCTTCGACCTGTTCGGCATGGGTGACCCTACCAGGAGTTCAAGACTCCAGCCGACATAGCTCTAGGGGTCACTGAGACACACAAACCATCCCACCGCGATAAGGTGGTGACCCTTGGGATGGAGTTATAAAATCTGGGGGACATCTAGATATTGTAGTCTAGATATTTTTTATAATAACTAGATAATTGCAAGTATTGTTGACAAACTGAAAAAAATTGTCAGTACTGACACTTTCTGGTTAACTGTAAGTACAGCGCCTTGAGGCCTCAAATCTCTATAAGAAAAATGTTATTGGGTTGGAAGTGACCAACCAACGAAGGTCGGAGGACAAACAACAGAATTAGCAGTTGACAGGTGGTAACAGCAAAAATTTGACACAGAGATTATTTTTAATTGAGATTTGACAAATTTTGAGGACAGTCCTAGATGGCCAAAAATAAGTATTAGTTGAAAAAGTCTCACAAAACACTGCCAAAATTAACTCCCTTCAATCAAATGAAAATCATCACAAGCAAATCAAATGTCAGCTCAAATTCTGAGTATCCAGCAGAAATTTTGCTTGTCTCGAACTAAGAAAAATTGTTCCTAACAAGAACATAAAAATTGCAGTTCCGCAAGGAAACTCCCGTTAAATTTTCGTATCACATTACCTACAGCCCCCGATAATACAGGCTGAAACTGTTCGTGAGGTAGAAAATATCCAGACTTTGATGCAACAGCGAGGCTGTAACTGTCAGCTGACACGAAAATAAAAATTATATGCTGAGCCTGACAAATTAATTCACCATTGTTAAGGGGTTTTTTTTTTCGGGATCGGATAATTTCACTTTTCATGGATAACGGCCGATCAACATCGAGTAAACTTATATTTATCTTAAAAGTGCAGGGTAAACTTGGAAATACAGATAGCGTTCAAGCGAACAATTGCCGAGAGAGATTAGATCTAAAAAATATAAATAAAGTATAAAACAGAAATAAACAACAAACCGTAGACATATTCAGCAACTAGAAACCCTACCTCCCATCAATTTGACTGTCTCCCTTGTCCGTGGAAATGGCTGCACTCAGAGTGTCCAAACGAGCGTTTTCCAAGAGCTTCATATTGTTTTCACTAATTCAACCTTGGGGCTCACTCACTTCTGCTAGCGCTTTCGATAGAAATTGTGTCTTTTCTCGTTCCTGTTTACCAACCTTCGCTTCGTATCAGCTTAAAAAAGTCTCTGTAGATGTGAGATGGGCTTGCTGTGCGAACTAATAATCGATTTCTTTTTGTAAAAGGGCTGATGTCTGGGCTTTCGTCCACTCTGGGCGCCAAATTTTTCCACGAAGAAAGAGAAGGGTGAACTGTCGCTTGGATGCATGTAGAAGACTTCCTTCTAAGCTCAAAAACTGCTTAACTTAACCCACAATTACGTGAACTGATACTGAAAAAACTTGTTTTAGGTACAACTGCAGTTATTTTGATGCTAAATTACTGAGAAAGGCGACGAAAAGATGCTTTTGTCAAAGCACAAAATGGCGGATTACATCAATAACAAATGTCGGCTGAGAATTGAAAGTGACGTCATAAGTCTTGAGATTTGACTGGGAAGAGGAGAAAGGATGAAAGAGAAACAAAGAGAATGAGACGAAGAGAAATGATAAGATAAATTCTACTACCGAACCAAATACAAACTTTTTTTGAAGGAAAATAAAAATTTTCTGCACTGATACTGAGTTAGAGGTTCATTATTACATTTTGTAAATGATTACGTGATGAATGCTATTTGGAACTAATTACATAGGAGGTTTTGTTGAAAGTGGTGGATTGCCTGAGTAGTGCTGGGTTCAATAAAGTTGCGAACTCAAACAGAACTGGAGCAGCCAGAGCAATGGGAATCATGAACAGCTTTGCTTGGAGAGGATGGTAGTCGATAACAATAGCAGGAGATGGTCATATTCTGAAGTTTGCCTCTTGATGCACATTCGCTCTGCAGCCATTTGTTTCAGATCAGATCAAATTTATTTTTACAAATAGTGGGCGTCGGGTGATACTTTTGAGACGGATATTACCCACACTACACCATGAAGTAACAAATTGATCTAGTATTAGTTGTACAGTTCGTTTCAGATCTAAAAGTTTAGAGGGAGGAACGACTCGTAAACTGGATTTTATTTCCTTCCGTCCATTTACAATAGATATACAATGTGCAACAATGGGAAGGCCGCTTACATGTTTTTGGGCTCAACAGTAAGTACCCAAGGCGGTAACTCTGAGTAAGTTGCATCGCGCGATTCTTAAGAAAAGTGGCTTAGCTTGGCTTATATACCCTTCCTGATCAGTCCAAAACATAATAGGAATGTTCCTTGGTTCGCCGACGAAGATATTTTATTGACTCAATCGAATGTTGAACTATGATCTTCTTTCTGACAAATAAAAGATTAAAATTTTAATTTCACAGCAGCGCCCATTGCAAATAATGTTTAAAGATTTGTCTTCTAGACAAACACTTCACTCTCAAAGGAGGAAAAAATCGCCGTATTCAGGGAAGACTTAGTTTATCGGGGAACAGGTTCACGATTTGTGAGTGATGATCAGAAGTCAAAGGGGCGAAAAATAAATCTTCATATACTTATTGCAAATCGGTGATAAAAATGGATCACATGTAAACCATTCAAGTTGGAGAGACAAATTACCTAGCATGGTCGTCCATAGGGACTGGCGCAGTTGAGGTGATGCCGATATGTTTTCCATTTACAATTTTCTTCGGCGGGATCACCTGCAGCAGCTGTCTGGATTTGACTACATTCTTCCACGTTTTCTTCCATCACTTTACTTTCTGGATCTTGTCTAACTTCCGGTGCCACAACCTTGGGTCTAAATCTAAATAGTTTTCTCTCATTTTCTTCAGCTTCGTGAAGAGTTTTTCTCAACATAATCTCAATAAAGGCGACTCGAAAATTTCTATTTCAAATTGTGTAAATAAATGGATTGATAAGGGAATTAAAAATTACTATCCCAAGACAAAATTAACGAGCTGACATTTTGACATCATCCGAGAAACTTCCCTCGAATATATACCACGTGAAATTAAGAAGAGTAAATGGGACAAAGAAAAAAGTAAAACTGTTACTATTATAATTGTTGTTGATTTTAAGGCTTTCTTCTCTCTTTTAAATTTAGCTTTTACTTCCATAGAGACTTGGTGGGCAAGAATATCTTTTTCGTGACGATAGACCTGCTTAAAGACGAGAATCTGAAGTAAAACAATGGAAAAAAACACTTTGTTCCCTAAAATGGCAAAAATCAGTATAATGTTTGACAGAGTGAAATAGAGAATGACCGATGTGATTCAGGAAATTAATGATGAAACTACAACGCGGGTATTTGAGAGCACCTCGTTGTGTCTGAGAGAGTATTTTATAGTGAGGTAACGTTCTCCGCTAATGAGAATCGGGTAGCACATAGATATAAAACTGAGTTCCATAAAAGAGATGGTAAATGCCAAATTAACTTCGCAAACTTCGTGGAAATCTTTACCTTGAAGCAGAAAAATCGCCATAAAATTGCATTTAGGGGTTGAACCACCGCACCAGCTAATAAATCGGTGACTGCTATGCACGCCAACATAATGTTCTTTTGAGTGTGTTTGAAGTCTTTGCTTCGCCTTCACAGCTAAAATGACTAATGCGTTCAAAAAGCAGATCAAAGGGCAGGCAACGAAACTGAAGAAGGCTGCTGCGAGAAGAAAGCTGCGAGTAAGATCGGAAGAAAAATCATATCGCCGATGAACGGTTTCAGGGACTAAGGAGCTGTTGCACTTGTTTCCAAAGCCAACAGAAGAAGAGTATTTCATTTTCGCCCCGCTGTTCCACAGCGATTGTTGTCTCAACGTCTTGATTAACTTCCACAAATGAAAAGGTTTGGTTTGTATCACTCTCGACTGGCGATCCACTTTTAAATGGGCCAAGTTTTTAAGCCGCCCCCTAAACACTCAACATGTCGTCGAATAGATTGCGAATGGCACTTAGATTTTATTTGTAAAATAGAAATAAGATGTTCAATTACCCGATTAAATATTCAATTCATCTTGCCACTAGATGAACAGAAATGATTATGTAGAATCCGCTCTTTATTTGTCGAGGGCCGGTGACATAAAAATTTTGGCAATTGAACCGAGTTTGCGTTCATTTAAGAGAATCATATATCAGTTGGGTGTCAGTCATTGCTAAGAGAGCCAGCCAGAGAGATCAGTACATCATGTAATCATAGCAACAAGCGCGCGCGGAAAAGTAGTCTTTGCATTTGCTTACGTCAGCAGCGTACACCCATGGGCAAATGGGGGACGCTAAATTGACCAATCAGAGCGCGCGCTTTACTTTGGTTATGTTATAAATATCAGTTGGGTGTCATTGCTAAGAGAGCCAGCCAGAGAGATCAGTACATCATGTAATCATAGGCGGATTACCAAAGCGTTTAGAATATTCCGTGCAAGTATTGTCGTTTTAAGCATCTGTTGCAAAATGTTACAGTGACGAGACTTCAGGAAAGCTTTGCGGTATCAAAAGTCAGAGCTTAGTCGTCAGCTTTCACAAGCCTTCTTGTTTTGGTAGATAGTTCTAAACTGGGAGAGTTTTTCACCACTGGTGTAAATGTAAAGACAAATTTTTACATGTTTATTGAAATTTAATGATAAAAGTGAATCACACGCGAACCTTACCAGCAGTTGCATGTGGAGAAACAACTTATCTTGGTTGAAAATGGAAATAAGCTTTGTAATTACTCACAAAAAATTAAATCAGCTTGCCGCTTGATGAACACAGATGAATTGTAAAATCCTTCTTTTGTTTGCTGAGTGCCGTTAACTTCAAAATAATGACGACTGAACCAAGTTTTCTTTGATTTATGAGGATAAATTTCAGTTGGGTGTCACTGTTAAGAGTGCTGGATAGGTCAATAAATCATGTATCATGGGGTTGCCAAATCGGTTGGAAGTATTTCATTAAAATAAACACAAAGGATAGCTTTGGGGTGCTTGCTTGAATTCGTCGACCTAATTTGTTACACGAGCTGGGAACAAACACGTTGCAAATGGTAATGAAGTTGAAAACAATGCTTTAAACGGGTGATTAACAGAGAATGAGGAATGAACATTTTCTAAAATAAGCCACTGTACTAAACTCGATCAACATAATGGTCAACGGCAGGCAAATTTGTCCCCTGATGAAAACTGAACTTATAACACTTCACACTTCTCAAACACAAACCCAGCATTTTGGCGGCATTCTTTTTGTTTCTATCTTTCCTAGAAACTAGGCTTGTCTCGTAAGTAATTAATTCGAAAGTTAGTAATCCGCACTGATTTTCGAACTCACTCTTGCAAAAGTGATTCGAATTTTGTGTTCCAAAGTCGTACAAAGATAAGTTGGTGTAAGTCTGTCTGTCACGCTGTTTTGAAGTGTGACAACTGCTCCAGTTTATCTTTTAAAAAATACACTTTCTTTTTCACCATCGATTTTTTTTCCCATTCTTCTCTAGTAGGTGAGGCAAAAGCCGTATTCAAATTCGTCACTGTTTATCGTCTTTTTCAGTGCGTTGGTCATAGCGGCCTTGAAACGATGCGACTCTACTTTTCGTGTGCCCCAGCTTTCAGTTATAATGCAAAGTTTTTTCAGCGGACAAACAAATAAAGTCTCGTCTTCATATTCTGTCAGGCATTTTTGGTCAAAGTTCAAATTTATTCACCTTTCATTTTACAACGAGGTATCAGTATCCTCACCGACCATAGCGGATACCTCAAATCAAAACATTTATCATGCTACTTCTGACACTACTCTGGCTTCGACCTGTTAACAATCACAGAAAATCTGTATTCTCTTTTACAAAGATTAAAGGCAAACTCAGCTATGCCGCCATGTTTTTAACATATAGCAACCTGGATTAGATATTTAAAGTGAGGAATAAGAGAAGTAAAGTCATGGGAAATTCTGTTTTTAAATGGAGTCTGAGTACCATTCATAGATACGTTGAACAACCCGATGGCATCATAAAAGCGCGGCTAACTTTACGAGATTAGAAACAAACTTCCAACCAATTAAAGCCGAGCCCCCAGTAGATTTTGCTTTTAAATGCATATTAACCCATTTGCGGCCATAAAGCGTTTCGTCTGAGGCTTTCGCGGGCATATTTATATAGAGGTTATCAATTTTTTCAATATTCTTATTGGTGAAATCTCAAGTGGAGTTCAACGCCTTTTTGTTACTTTCGGGAGCATGTTGAGCGTCTCTTAATCTAAATTTACTTTCGAAAATTGAATCCATTTAAGTAAACTTTCAGATTTCAGACCGACAAATATTTCGCTGTCAGGTATCAAGTCACGTAACTAGAAGAGCATTTTTGGCAGTTTCAGTCGTAAATGGTCGCCACTCGATCGATCTGAAATCTGCCTTTTTTAGACTTCGCTGTTTGTTTCAAACTATTACAGAGAGGATGAAAAATCAGTTTCTTCTAATCAGTGAAGTCCTTCGTGTATCGTGATCGCTCTTCATCGCTCACCGGCGGTCAAGTGTTGTTTTCGCGGACGGTATTTTAGTAGTTAACGCTTTCAATTTATAAATCAGTTGTATTCGCAATCTCTTTGTTTAAGTTAAAAAAAAAAAAAAACGTTCAGTTCTAGTACCATTTGAGACCTTCCTGTCTGCCTGATCAATTAATACTCAGCTGAACCTGATCATCTCAACTTCTAGGCGAAGATGAATGAATCTTCTTCTTTAGGGCTTGAAAAAATTTGTCATAACTTTATTCCCCCGTACTCCTCCCTTGGGATTTCATCTCCTGATGTGGCGCAAGGTTTTTGTTCTCAACAATCTCCGAAAATGTTTGTTATCTGAACCGGACGCCTTGCTCCAAAATATCTTGGCTCCACTTTGTATGATGATTTGGCAATTAAATTATATGTGAATGTGGAAATTACTGCAAGAAAAGAAGAAAAGTAGGATTGTAAGAGATGTTATTTAAACGACAGAACTGAACTCTTAGGCGATGTTACTCGTTGGCCGCCATGCGCTTTGACATATGCTATTTGGAAGGCAGTACGATGTGGTTAAAAATTAAGCAGCGTTCAGTTGTACTTACTTCATAAACTCGGGTGATCTTGCGATGACATTTTCGAACTCTGAATAAGATAAGAATCCATCCTCATCAATGTCGGCCTCTTTTAGTAACTTGAAGTAAGAATAAATATAACATAATTTTTTTAAACTTCCGTCCCAGTCTTTTAAATCGCTTGCGCCTGCCCACGATAAAATCACCACAAAAAGATTCGCAAACAAATGTTTGGACGAAGAGCACTTCATTCCTCATTTTGGCCAAAGAACATTTGTAAGAAGAGAGATGAATGGACTTATTGATAAAAAGTTAGCAAGCAATACATGCAATTTGGAACACAGTACCTCATCGGAAACAAACTCCATCTCTTCATCAGTAAGCTCACTTGCTGTGAGAGCTCTTAAGGCTTGTTTGAGATCTTCCTTGCCGAGATAATCATCTTGGTCAAAATCTTGAGAAAAAGGTAGAAAGGAAGTGAATAAGGATAAATGCACTTCAAGGAACCAAAGACACATCGAGCGAAAGAGAGCAAGTGTTACGGCCGGCCCGGTTATAACTGAGAAATTTCAGTGAAATAGATATGAAGGGGTAACATTTAGAATTTTTGGTTATTAATTAAAGTGAAGATCTTTACCAAATATCCTGAATGCATACTTGGCTTTGAGCTCTATGGGAGCCTGTAAAAACCAAGGAAAAAATATTAAATATGTTAGGGCATCATGCGTCTGCTCCAAAGGATCATCTGCACATGGTCATCTTTAATTTGCTATGGCGGTAAAAAAATCTGGCTGAGTATTCATAGACTCTTAATGGTGGTGTGGAAAACTCGACTCTGACTGACCAATCAAAATGCAGCCGAGGTGACGTCTCATCAAGACAATCAAACAATCATATCTGTGTTCAATTCGCCAGGTACAACTTTTTCACTTCACTGTCTCGAAACGATCGCTCTTAAAAAAAAAAAAATTTCCATTCAGGTTGGCAGCAGCTTCGTTCTCCTTGTTCCAACCATTAACAGCCGTTTGTGTTACTGTGAAAGTGGCTTTCACAGGCTCAAGTGCTATGTTGATGTTTCGGTCCAGCAGTTCTGTTTATCATTCCGAATGATTTTAAGCTGGATAAGTCTGTCCCAGTTTCTACGTAGGCACACGCTGAGCATGCAGTTTGCATGAAATGTCGCTGGGTCTGAAACTGCTGGAGAATCATTCTCGTTCCCATGGAGAGAAAGAGAGAGTCCTGTGGACGAATTTACTGCTTCCAAGTTTCTTCTTGCCATTAGGGTAGAATTTTCTCGCTACCAAGCTGTAATAGAACTCCTAAAGAGATATCTCTACAAAGGAAACTTACAGATTCACTGAGTACTGACATCATGTTCAAGAAATCGTCGAATGACAGGCTGCCATCTCCATCAGGAGAAAACACTTCACAGATTCGTCGCCTAAAGGGATTCTCCTATCATTTGTGAATAAAAAAAAAGGATATTGATGTGATGTCAGGAATCTTGAAAAATTAACATACCAAGTATAACTCAGGAGAATTCATAACCACTATGCACAACTTTGGTCCGTCGACTGGTCAGTCGGTGAAACGTCGGGCATGCGCAATTGATTCATCTTTGGGCAGCCGCGCGATACCTTCCTGCGTAAAACTTTTAGAGGAAACTTACGACAAAATAATGGAATACTGTAGACCTTCCGATTGCAAAGTTTATCCAAAGTGTATTTATTAACTAAAGAAAACTTGGATTTGACTACCCGAAAGCACGATGTCGGGTTTCCATTTTGGCCGCCTTTCAGATTTTCCAACGTTCGCTCTTGTCTTGTGCAGACTCAGTTTAAGCCAAAGCTGAGTAGTTCGTTTAGAGTAAATTAAAGTACGAAAATAAAATGGTTCTTAAAAAGAAAAAAAAAATCAACTGAACGACCGGCTTGAAAAACAGTTGCTATGTAAAAGCCGGCCCCCTGGTGCTCTTTCCCTCTCCCACTGGTTAGTTCATTGTAACCTGTTTCAGGGCTCACCTTGAGTTCTGGTAGTTGCTGGAGGAATTTGTATTTCAGTTTTGGCTGAACATCAAGTTCTGTAAAGTCTTCAGGTATAAGATCTACGTTTAAATCTCGATATCGCCGGTGAATCCTGACAATGAATGAGCTTTTGATGGATAAGACAATTACGAAAAGAAATTTGTAACAACAACACTCCCCAACGACAACAACAGGAACAACACAAACAACAATTAAATCCGAATTTTTCTCAGTCTCGAGGGGTTTTTGTTAGATTTCACCGAGAAAGGATCGAGTCTCCTGATACGACGATCTTGACAACATGGCTGCAATTCAATAACAGAGTTGTAGTAGATTCACGTTCACTTGTAACTGAAAGTGAGTTTGCGAGGATAAACACAATCGGAAAAAAACAACGGAAGTCAGTTTTCGGTGAAGAGACTGGCGAAGAAAGATGAGGGGACTGGAAAATGTTAGCTAAATTTTCCTAACGTGATAAGGGTAATGTGGCTTTCTCGCACTGACCACAATCCCCTACTTTTATTCATAGTAAGCTATAATCAAAGAATCTGTATTCCCCACCGTGCCATCCCAATTAACCATGTCAACTGAATCAGTGAAGATAAAAAATAGCATAAAAACCATTCAACGCAAATGATGGATTACCCAACACTGAATTCTAACGCAAACAGTCTATAACGTACGCGTGCCACGATACAATTTATCTACAAAAGCAAAATTGGTTAAAATACATACTGTACTGTACCTCAAAATATCAGCGCGATTGAAGTATGTACAGTCCTAAACGATGAAAGCAACAAGAATGGGTTATTAAGAGATCTGGAATTACGATTCCGTGAGGATTCGCATAAAATTAAATAATGACGTGCGAGTTTATGAACCTGATAGTCTTCAAGCTGATCTTCTGTAAAAGCTGCTTGCTTGTTTCCCATATCTTGAAAGTAAAGTACTAACGCTCGGGGCTAAAATGATCTATTTTTTTTGTACTTAGCTGACGAATAGGCGAGATTTTTTGCTCCGATTTTTTGATAGCGTTTAAGATTTTACTTGAAATCTCAAGCACCTGTTCATGCATCGCATGAAAAAAAAAAAAAGTAAAGAAGAAAAAAGAAAATCAATAAACAAAACAAATGATCACATTGGTCGTCCTCTGAAAAAATCATGTGGTTTGCATTTGTTTTTGTGTTCGGAATACTCTTTTATGCGTCCAGTATACAACAAGCACTGATTTGACCTCATTCCCTCTGTTACAGAACTCATTACAAAACAAGTTGTTAATAATTGATATTGCCCTGGTAATAATTACTATTTTTTTTATATTACAAAGGTCTGATAACTCTAACCATGATGCACACACCATGGGGATACTAAAAAGGTCGCCTAAGGCCATATGATCAAATAGAAGAAGGAAATCATAAAGGAGTTCCGACCTGTAAATAATGGTAATTGAAATGAGTGGAGTGCAATTTGGGCTGAAATCATACGCGTGATTTCATAATCGAACGACCGCGCAACGCGAGTTCAATATTTGAAATCGCAAGTATGATTTCAGACCAAAATTGCGCGACACGAGGTTCAATTACCACTTTATTACATCCATTTTGAAATTGCCCAAATACAGGAATTGGTCAATTCAAATATTTTACTGATGCAGTACTGAGCAGGTTTTTAAATAAAAAGTGGAACCGGAAACGCGCTTACATCTTATTTTGTACGCAAAACAGAAAGACTTTGACGTCATGCGTCAAAAACTCAGTCAAGCGTAGAATGATGCGATTTAGAGCAAAAAAATGGTGCGATTTGGGAATAAATCGCGCCAATTAGCGCCAATCAGATTACAGGGACCACCAGCACTTTCAAAATAGATGTAATAAAACGTATGACTCTCTAGGTATGGGGAGAGGTGGTGCGGGGTTTCTCGATGAGAGGTTAGAGGTGAGGGGTTGGCTGAAAGCGTGCAACCTGAAGTTTGGTGCAGAGGCCAGCATCGCCACACACTTATGGGAAAGATTTGCGAACATATTCATGAAACGCCACAGAGCCCGTATGGACCCGGAAAAGGTGCATAAGAGTTTCGCTTATGGTGCCTGGGGTGGGAGTGCGTGATTTTCTTTTCTCTCCCTCTCTTTTGGTTGAACGTTTGTCTCCTTCCTCATCCAAAATTTTCTTTCTTATTTTGTCTACCCGGTCCTCCCCCGGTCGATAGCGGCTTGATTGACAACAGGAAGTGGGGAACAATTTCGCCGAAATCGCGCCGGCGGAAATTTCACAGAACCCAGCTGTTAGCGAGGTTTGCCATGCTTAGCAAATTACCAGTGCAGTAGTATCTACAGAATTCACTCTTGGGGAAACCTACAGAATAATGAAGGTAAAGACTTGGCTAGTCTCTAAACACAGTGAAAGATAATTGAGCGACGCGTAATGCCCGGTGTAACTTAAGCTGCCTCATCAAACTTTATCTTGTAACCTAATTCAGGAATTTAATTCTCTTCTATCAATGACATGTTTTGTATCGTGATATCTCCAACAAATTTAGGGACAACTTCGTTTTTTCCTCGTTGTACCCGCGATCTGTTTTCAATTATTCTTGCATGATATGTGATGATGTCGCTCTCTCGGCACATGAGATGTGATGATGTCGCTCTCTCGGCACTTAATCTGTGATGATGTCGCTCTCTCGGCACTTGAAGCTGAGAGGAATCGATTTGAGGCAAACTTTGATAAACACATTAAAAAGACCCGAGTTTTCCTTAAATTTGTTTCTCGAAAAATCCTTTTTAGACAACGAGCACCAACTATAGACATGGAAAAGTTTATTCTCTGCGAAGGAATGAGATTTTTGACCGCTTAGCCTTCGATTGTGGGGCTGTGAYCATCGCCTTCTAACGGGGGGGGGAGGGGGGGGCATATGGGGGGCATACAGACACGTAAATATCATTTACGATAGAAGGAAATTGCACCTAGGAGAATAAAACGTATGCTATCTCAAATTCAACAATTTAAATCAAAAACCTCAATTAACTGAATGAGAAATAATAATTTCAACACAGGAGTGTAAATTTGAATTTTTTTGAATGAGTCTGATGCTCAATGTGTGAGTTGTAAGAGCTTTGAAATATTCTTGGTACCCCTTGAGGATATATTCAGAAACATCAGTGTCCAAAAGCAGCCTTGTTGACTGAGACCCAACAAATACCCTTTCCTGATGATACAAAATTATCCAAGAGGCTGCACCCTACACGCCATGGTTGACAGTTGTGGTAACAAAGACCCTAAAAGCTGAGACCTAATACCTAAGAGCTGAAAACGAAAGCCCAAAAACAAAGACCTGAAAAGAAAGACCTGATGGATTCCTGTTTCTTTGTTGATTCATAAACGGCCTTCATCAATCTGAGTGTGGTACTGTAATTGAATTTTTTTTTTTCAGCCAGACCAGTGTTAAACAAAAACTGGAGGAGAAGACATCATAGCTAGGATGATGGAGATCAAAGTAAAGCTGATCAATTATGTCATTGATTATGGGATGCTTTAGATTGTCTGAATCATGGTAAAGAAGATCAAAACTTGCTTGTTCAAAATTCACACTGAAATATTAAATGAGCCTATAAAAAGAGCCCTTCTGTCTTTTCCTTGGCTTTAATTTTAAAGTAATGTCAAAGTAACAACTGTGTAAAAGAAAGCTCTGCATGATTGTCATTTTAATCGCTGAGCCCTTTTCATTTATGGGGAATCGAATAAACTGAAACAGTTTGTACCAGAAGCATTTTTTTGCATACAAGCTTCAAAAGAGCTTGAACAAAACTTAATAGATAAATTTTGAAAATTTAAAATTCATGTGGATGACTGCACACAAACACCACTGTGAACAGATCATGGAGAACACATCACAATTTGATTCAGAAGTAATTTATATAATGCAAGAATTCAAACCAGGCAAATACTGGTAGCAATGTTTTGCTAGCTGCAATCTTTAAAGCTGGTGAATTTTGGACCAATCAGGAGTGTTGGAAAGCATTCTCTTTTGAAGTTGGCGTGTTATTTTGAAAATGAGGGATCATTATTTTTAATCTTTGTTCTCAGGTCTTTGTTTTTGGTTCTTTGTTTTCAGGTCTTTGTTCTTGGTCTTTGTTTCTCAGGTCTTTCTTTTTGGATTTTAGTTTTTGGGTCTTCGTTTCCAGAGTCTTTTTATACAAAACTGGTGTTTGATTGCATGTTTTATTGGTATTAGAAAGATTAAAACTGGAGTTGGATATTTCCAGTGGGAAACTGTAAGAAGATCTAAATCTATATCTAAATGTCTAATCTGCAAAGGGCAATACAGCCCATCTTCAGCAGATATACTCACCCATCCCATCCCAGGGGAGGACATCCACCACACAGTAATCTCGTGCATGGGAAATTAATGTCTCCTACCCTTAACCCTACAGGAGACAGGACCTACAGTTTATTCGTCCTTATCCGAGAAGACTAGAATATCTATCCATTTCTTGATATTATAGAAAGGCAGCACAATCTCCTCAGTTATTTTAAGACCCTGAGTGTTGGTCTGACCGGGGCTTGAACCCTCGACCTCCCGTACAACAGTCCGGCACTCTAGCAATTGAGCTAACCAGGAGGCAGTTGTTGAATAAAGAAAATAAAGGGGTCCTCCTTTTCCCAAGGTCTTCATTTTCAGGTGTTTAGATCTTTGCTTTGGGGGCTTTTGTTTTCATTACAACCCATGGTTGACATATGGCACATTGCAAGCTACTGGTTTATTGACTTGCTTTCATAAGTCTAGAATACCGTTCTTTGGGGCTGGCTTGGGTAAAACGGTTGCAAAGAGGGAAAGGAGTGTTTAAAGTAGAGAATTAAGGGATAAAGAATAAAAATAACAAAACCAAGAAAAGTATTAACAGTAAACATTTAAACCAAATTCAAGAGAAATACAAGATTACTATTACCAGAAAGAAGTGATAACTATTATAATAATATTTTCTCATTGCCACTGTTAGACATCTCTTTTGACCATTTTACTCTCAGCTTTCATGTAGAAGAAATATTTGTCCCCAGTATCAATGAGGCCCTGATAGGGTAAATTCCGATGGGTGACATGGCATTGAAACAGCGACATCTGGGAAATCAAAATGTGACTTTGACCACGACATTGATGAAATTGCAACAGTGAGATCAGAACCTTCTGAAATGGCGACGTGACAAAGTTTGAAATTCAGACGGGTGACCATAACAGGGCCTCATCAATACATCGATTGGCAAGCAAAAAAGTGATGAAACTATCACTAAGGAGAAATATTTTTGATTTAACACCGAATTCTTAGAGCTACAGTTAAGAGAATTGACATTTTGCCCTTGGGAGTGAAAGGGTTATATCTTTAGATTTTTGAAAGTTTGTATTTGTAAGCGTGCAAACGTCCCTGTGTATTTCTATGAAGTTGTTTATTATAAGAAGCACACTACAAAAGTACTAAACATGAACTTATAAGCAAGCAAAAGGAATATACCTTTTGCCACTGCAAGAAATGAAAAGTTTCAAGAGTTGAAGCTAAATTACTATTTGACCCAGGAGACTGATTCCTGCCTTTTTCCAGGTGAATGATTTCTGATTTATCAGCACCATTTTATTAACACTATTTTGTTCTATACTCATTAATTTCTTATTCTTAAGAATAAAATTCATTTTCCTATTTAATAGCTATGATTCATGATTCCACTTTCCTTATGAAAAAGTGATAGGAATTAACATGTGTTTCTATTTGTTAGGAGCTATCTATAAAGATGTAGATCTGCTAATAAGCCAACCTGTAGACAGGAATTTCTTTATATTTTGAAAAATATATAGTAAATAAACCCCATCAGGTGGCTGGTACGTTAGCTGATAATGTTTGTGGAAGAGATATCATTCCAAAAATGAAAATTTGACAGAGAAATGAAGCTTTGAGGGTAAATGTGAAATTTTGAGGACATTCTCTCAACTAAGCTAGGACATCATCAGCGGACAATTACCAGCAAGCCTGAAGAGGTTTTATTTATCTTAAAATCCTCTTGTTAATTACATGTAGTGCACTGCCAGCAAATTTGTTTACTCTTTTGTACTTTGCAAAGCAGTGTTTGAGTTCAGCTTTTCAATTAATGTCACTACCACTGGATTCAAGGAAACAAGTTCACTTTTCTTTCATGGAAGAAGTAAAGATCATGAAAACTTGAGCTGGCTTTTTTCTGCTAGCCTTTTTGTTTTCAACAGAAATAATTGGTCAACAAATATAGCCCTAAACCAGGGCTATTGTGTGATAACTGTTTGGTGGTTTTGTATCATCATGATGTGACATAAAGTAGCCAATAGAGTCACACAAAAATTAATGTTTGGGTCATAATTTGTAATATACTCTATCTGATGTCTATTTTCCATTTTTATCAGGTTTTGTTGATTGAACAAAATTATTTCTACTGTCTTTGGTGTGCCCTCTTCATGACCATGGAGTAACATGGAACACAGTCGTCAACTTGAGGCAAGGTATGATATACATTGTAAGTTACAGTTAAAAGCTGTATGTCTGCTTCAGAGTGCAAATGGCATGTTACATATCATTTTTACCAGGTATGGGAAATTGCATGCTATCCTAGCCAAGTGGTCAAACTTTTTTTTTTACTATTTTGCCCAATAATTATTAAATGTAAGAATACCTACAAAGCAGTTGATTATTTTTAGACTCTTTTTGCAAATCTTGCTTAAGTATGTCTTCAGTTTATAGTTTGTGGCAAATGTGTCACTTTTGCATTCTGCAGTAAATAATTTTGCGGAGATCGATGTACAGATATCATTTGTTGTGCCACTTTCAAAATTAGATGAAAAATTTCTCTCTCACTCTTTAATTCAAGTTAATGGCTGCAATTAACCCTTTGCACTCTAACATCAGTATACAGATTCTCTTTACCGCTTTCCATATATTTCCTAAGGTGGTGACATGAAGAATTTGTTTAACATTACAATAAATGGCTTCTTTGGTCAGTTATCAATTCCTTTCTTCTCATGACTATAATGTTTGATTCAGGGGGTGATATGGCAAAGAGAAATTAGTTGTCAATCACCCTTAGAGGGGAAAGGGTTAGGAGTTATGTGTGCAAGTAATTATAAAATCCCCAGAGTAAACAATGTTGTAGTTAAGGAGAAAGGTTGAATTAATCTGAAGTTGAAATTAATGGCCTCAATTAGATCAATTAACTATTCTTTGGCCATATTCCATCATTACTAGTTCAGTCATCATACAAAAATCTGAGACAAATCTCATTTGATGTAGAAAATTGTTCCTTCAGTTTTCAGACTGAACTGTCACACACGAATTATAGGTGACAGAAAAAAAATTGTTGGGACATCAAAGTAACTGGAGGGACAACATAGTTTGTAAATTACTCTTTAGTTAATTGATGACAACTGAAACCAGTCTCTGATGAGGTTTTATTTGACCCTTCTGATTGTTGATTATAATAAGACTTTGTTATCTGATAAGCTACAGAGAACTTGTTCAGAGAGTATCCAGAAACTACAGTAATGAACATTCTCATAATATGGTTTACCATGATTCTGATGCAGAAAGGTAACTTTCATAGGACCAAAATATCAAAAATTGTCAAACATCTTTTAAAGAAAGGATTTTAATCAGACAACTTAATTAGTTAACTCCCAGGAGTAGCTAAAATGCTTTCCAAGTTATTTATAAGTTATTTTTTTCCAATCAAATACATTGTCATACAGACAGGTGAAAGACGAGATTACAAGAATTATCCTTTTCTCTGAGGTGGTGTTTGATTGAGCAACAAATTCTCACAGTAACATAAGGAACATTAGGTTTAAAGTAAACAGATCTGTGGATTTGTCAGAACTCAAAAAAAAAAAAAAAATGAGCTGACAATTTCCATAACTTTGTGGTGTATAAGAAACAGGAGTCAGGTCTAGAGATATAAATGACAGCCCTGTTCCTTCCAGTTGTGATCAAAAGGGAATTTTGTTGTACAACATCAATGTCCTTTTTTAATGTGAAAGATGATGAATGAATAGAAAAATATCAACTCGGACATGCCGTTGAAATAAAGTGAAATTCTGGAAGCAAGTATTGTCAGTAAAAAAAAAAAGTAAAAAAAAAAAAGTAAAAAAGTGTTGAAAATTTGGAATGAGAGGTTTGAAGGTGACTAGCATCTAATTTCTCCTGACAATGCCATCCCTGATTCACACATTAAGGTCAGGAGAATAAAGGACATGATCACCAATTAGAGAAGCTCTTGATTGTTGGACAAATTCTCCTTGTCAGCACCGTAGGAAATGTACAGAGAACAGTATGGAGAATATGCATACTGATGTTAGGCTGTAAAGGTTATAACAATAGCACAATGTTTTAAGAATAAGCGACAACGGGGATTTTATTTCAACATAAAATTTTGAACAGCTTTTGACAAAACACCAATGAATCTTTTAGAAAATGTCTCTTCACTACCAGGTAATAAAGAAACCAAATTTTGACTGTCACTGCAGCCCGTTGAATTTGTTCATGTATTTACATAAGATATTGGAAAATGTTTTTTATTTCACTATACACTACATAACAAAAACTGTTGCTTCGGCTGGGGGTACTGAGAAAAACTTTCCCCTTGGTATTGCCAAAAATTCACTTTAACTTGTAAAGGGTATACAATGAAACTAGTAACATCTTTTTTTTTTTAATTGGATAATATTTTCAACATTTTTTTCAAATGATGTTTCTGTGTTTTTAGTTTTGTTTAGATTTTGTTTGTTCGTTTTTTCTTTTGTAATGGTCCAACAAGAATGGCCAGTTTGGTACACAAGTCGCCCGTACATCAGATTGGCCACTGTCAGCGGCTTACTTCATAAATAAAAATAACTGATTACGTCACGCAACGTTCGAAAACGTTTCTCGACGTTTGGCAATTTCAAACCACTTTACAACTATCGAGCTAAAAATGCCAAGAACGGCCTAAAAACTCTCTAAGACAACAACAAAGAGGTAACAATGCTAAAGTCTAGGGTTCAAAGCGAAGATGTTCATAGGAAAACCCAGTTCGTTCCGTTAAGATGTTGTCAAACTCGTTGTCGATCGATTTCATGGCCTGATGCTTTCGGAGCTAGCACTTGTACGTGTACAAAGTATTTGAATTCAAGTTTTTATAAGTCTATGAGTTCACTTTTCCAATGGGTTGATCTTCAATACCTTTCCTGGCAGCTTCGATACTTGTGACAGGAGCTTGACATATTTATTCTTGAAGAAGTCTCGCTCGCGGAGGGCTGTAGCTACCTGTTGTTTTAGGCTGTCAAGCTCTTTTTGTAGACCGTCTCGCTCGACCTCCAAGTCATTCTTGGTCTGGATTCTACGCATCCTTGAATGCTGGGCATAGCCTCGGTTTTTCAATGTCCTTCGTCGTTGCTTGACCCGAGCGATTTCATCCTTCGAAAGCCCTCTGGTTCTCAACAGGTTGTTGATTTCTTTCACAGAGAGCTCTCGTAGCTCTGTTTCTGTGAACAGAGCCTCTTTAGCGCTCATTTCGAGGGTAAAAAAGTGTCCTGTGCTCGTTGAGCTACACGCAGATGGAGATGGGCTCAGATTTGATTGCTCTGACGCTGCATCCTCCTCGGGAAAATTGCGCGATGGAAACGTCTCGCTCAACCAGGCGGGCATTTCATTTAAGTCCAGAGTGGTGTCTGGGACGTTTTGCGCGGGTTCCTCTTTCTCCTCTGAGGGAATTAACCAGAACGGCAAATTATAGAAGTCGAGGTCGCTCATCATAGGATCGCCAGTAATACTTAGCTTTGAGATATCGTTGCTGTCATTCATAGGCATCATGTTGGTAACACTGTTCTCGGCGAGTGTAAAATAATGCGGGATGAGCGGCTTACAAATCAGTTTAGAACGAAAGTATCACAGCTGTGTACTGCAAGTTCTTGATTCACTTTGAATCAACGTCGATGCCTTCAAAATAGAAGGCGAGATGGAGAATTGAGTGTCAAGTGAAGATGTAATCAAAACACGTGTTTTCACTTCGATTCCTGGAGATAAAGTGAAAGTCTGTGTCGCAAGCGACCGGTTAAAACCAGTGCAAGAACTGTCCAAGATTGCACCACGAAGATTTTATTTATGTGATGATGTAATGTTGCCAGAAAAAGCTCATTGTTATCTGACCAATCATGGACAGTAACTGGGGCATGTCCGGGCGGTTGCTAAGACGACGTTGAGAGTCTATGACGAACGGGGAATCCCCTACTTTAGCTACCGTGACTGGTTTTCAACGAGGAGGGCACAAAGTTATAGGCTAATTGCACGAAAAAATTTTGAATTATGCGGAATCTTTATTTTTGGCGATCGACAATGTGGGTAGTAAACTTTGACTTCATTCCGGATCGAATGAAAGCAAGATAAAATTAAAAAAGCAAGATTGTTTCGTAACTCAAAATGATGTTCCAATTATCTAGCTTATATTTTACATCAAATGAAGCTTTTAAAAAGTTTGCTTAACCTGAACAAAATAATCGTTTTCTTTGTAAATAAAACCAGACACTTGCAAGGAATTAGAAGGTGAGGATATACGAAATGCAGTCATTTTTAGAACTTTCGTAGAATAGCGCGATCGATCTGATGAAATGTTACCAAACAAAGGCGCAGATTTTGCTTTTGCGATCAATAGAGCATAGAAATCTGACACGTCACCATGAATTGCGTTGAGCTTTACAACTTACCACTTGTCAGTAGCAATGATTGGATATACCCTCTACATAAATTTTCCTACTATTTGTCGGTCCAAGGACGGCAGTTTTAAATATAGCCGTGACTCACAATTATCATATTATTCAGTTGAATGCGATCTGTTACACTGAGTTAAATTTAATTTTCTTTGCGTCTTAAATGCTTTATGGTTGTCAAAATTCACTTCGTCATGCCTGAACAAAACGTCCCAATTTAGCTCTGAGCCGTTTTTTTGTAAGATTTGAGGGCATTTTAAGCCTGCTATGCACCTGTGATACTTAATTGTTTCAAGCTCTAGAGAAATCAAACTCGTTTAGGAATAATGTGACAATGTTATTGCAGTGATTTCGTCATTTTCCTGAATTAGGAGACTCCTGGTATAATTTGAATTACCGTTAAAGAAGAAGAGTAATATCCCAAGAAGAAGTAAAAGAGCTTGGAAATACTAACATAACATAAACAATAACATTAATTCATCCGTTTCTCCCTTGAGACTACAACTATTTCAAGCTATTTTCCAACAGCGTGAGTCATCGTTTAACCAGCTTCGATTGCCAAAAGGAATTGATCGTTCGTAAACAATTTATTGTCAAAAACGTGAACTTAATTTTTACCTTAAAAGGTCATGTTGTAGTATGTGTTACTCTGCGGGTAAATTACCAAAGAGGTTAGTACTGATAAAAAATCGTGTTACGTGTGTTTGTAAGGTATATGAATTGTTTGAAGCCTATAATTAGGGGCCCTGCAACCTGTCAGGAATTGAAAATCTCGGCAGGTTTTTTTCCCTTAATGCCGTCTTTACAAATAATTATATGAGTGGAATCACTTGAACTGATCCATGCTTCGCGACACACATTTAAACAGAAGGTATGAATATTCAAGACACGGCAATCAGAAATAATTTTAAGTTATGATCCTTAAATTTGACACCCGCGAACGCACATGGAGTGTCAGTTTGCGTGGATTGAAGATTTGTTTTGAACGTGATTCGGCGGAATTAACTGGTTTGCGTGTGTCACTAGCGAAACATGATCTCGTAAGTGATGAAAAATCGCGTGTACGATATTTAGATTAGGCAATGTTGAAAAATCATGTTGTGATTACACGTGAGCTGTGTGATGTCGAACTCCACAACCTGACGTAAAGAAATTTGAACTAAGTTGCATCTGACGCAAATCAACGCTTGTTAATCTGTTAGAATGTAACAAACACGTGGATCGTAAATGAAACGGCCGTAAAAATACCTCGTGGTTTGGACATTTTATGCGTTTGCCGCCTCAGTCTTGCCCGAATCTGCCTTGTTGTTTACACAGTGACGTCAAATTGTAATTCCCGCGCTAATGGCACCAGTCTTGATGGAATAAACACAAGCCTTGGGTGATAGTAAGGGAATGAGAAGCGGTGGTAGACTCTCTATTTGTAGTCTTATTACAAGAAATAGCTTCAGTAAATCGCGCTATCTTGATAAAGTTTTATATATATATATATATATATATATATATTACGCGTATTTACCCCTCATAATGCATATGTTCAAGCGATTATTTAAAAAACATCACATGATGTTGAATCGGGCAGAATCGAAAACGTGGTGGAAATTATAATTTTTTTTGCCAAATTTGGCAAATTCTTGATCATTTTGCAACGATGAGTTGAGTTAAAAATTATGTTAAGTGCAAGTTAAGTTTTTTTAAGTTGTATTCAGTTTTAGAAATCGAGTGAAAGTGGCCTGAGCGTATTTTTGGTTAGACAACTTTCCATATGCTTTGTTTGCGGTTCGTTGCCTTTTTCTTGACTTTTCTTCAACACCGGTGATATTGCTTCTCCTTTTCAACAGCAAAGTTAAATATCTCTTTTGTGTTCGAAATAAACAGGCCTTTTATATTGGTTTAACTTATCATAAACTTCCAAAGCGATATCGGACGAATTTTTCAATGGTTTTTAGAAAATTTCGCATGCGGTCAAGTGCCTGAAACTAAACTATGTCTTCTCGCATTGTGTCTTCGTTCCCTGTCGGTCAGGTTCTCGTGGTAGAAGGAACCGAACTCGAAATACAAAATAAGCTTGGTAGTGGAGCTTTTGGCGTGGTCTTCAAAGCAAGGGACCTACTTGCGAGTGAATCTGTCTTTTACGCGTTGAAAGATGTGGTGTGTTCAAATTCGGCTTCAATTGGCAAAGCAATCAGCGAAGTGGAAACCCTTCGCCGTGTGAAGCACGATTTTATTGTAAAAATTATAGCTGCCGACCAGTATGAAGACTCACGCGGAGGATTTCACGTGCTGATCTTAACGGAATACTGTTCAGGTGGGAATTTAAACGACAGATTGTCTCAACCGAGCAGCGAGGAGAAAACTCTTAAATGGTTGAGCCAGATAGCAAGTGCGCTGAGCTATTTACACTCGCTACAGATCGTCCATCGTGATGTGAAACCAGACAACGTAATGCTGACGGATTCTACAAGAGAGGACTTAAAACTTGGTGATTTTGGTTTAGCCAGAGAGTTTCTTGCGTTGAAAAAAGTAGAAACACTGTCGGCTTCAAACTGCGGGTTGGCGCAATATTACATGCAGTCAGGTACAGGCCCTGCTCATTGGATGGCCCCCGAGGTTTTCACTTGTCACTACACGGAGAAAGCAGACATCTTTTCCCTTGGTGTGCTATTCAACGCAATCATTGTACGAGACTTCGCTTACTCGGCTAACGAGAGGCGATGGTACGGCGCATTCGTGAAGGTTTCCGGTGGAGTGAAACTTGGCCTCGGGTATGCGATGGCAATACTCGGCCCAGCAGCCATGACCGAGTTCGTTCACGATCACAAGCTGGGTGAGGAGAACGGATTTCGAGGATTGATAATAGATACTTTGAATTTTGTCCCGCAAGAAAGACCCAGAGCCGAAGAAATTTACTACAGAATTGAGGAAATCGCCACAAATATCCGCCTGCAATGGTCAGATGAGGAACATATCCAAAACAAGCGTTCAAGAAGAAGGAAAGTGCGTAGGCCGAGAATAAGTAACAAATGCTCTATTAATTAGAACTGTTCAATTAATTGGGTCAAGAGGCTGAAATTGCGGTATATGTACGATCGGATAGATGATTTATGGAGTAAACTGTAAGCGGAATAATTTCTTTAATGATTATAGATAGGTAGTACAAAACTGTGCGCTGATATAATGATTGGACGTGAACATACACTGGTTTTAAATTTGTTCTCAGGAAAAGACCTCATCACTAGTGTAATCACTAGGGGCCCATACAATCTGTTTGTGTAGCCGATTGTTATTCTATAGTTAATGTACCAGATTTACCATTTGCCTCACCTACAGCGATATATTGCTGACTGTGTAGATAAATCAATGATAACTAAACGTTGAATTACGTTACCTGTGGTGTATAGTCGTCCTTTTGCCTCAAAAATGATTTTTTGAGCGATTTTGAATAAGTTGAGTTCGTCATTGACTGTCACTTATAGTAGAAAGACAAGGGTGGAAACCTTGTTTTGAAAGGATTCAAGCGCCCGAGCCATTTTTCCCCCGAAAATCGCATGGCTCCGCTTTCAAACTTCGGAGCATTAAGGTCAAAAGATTCACGATTCTCCTCGTACCTTCCAGTCGAAAAACCATCCAAACGGACCAGAGCTAGCCCTCGAAGAAAATCAAAATTCC